ACTATAAAGGTTAATAGTATTAATAGTAAATAAAAAAAGCAGCTTACTAAGTATTTTAAAAACTAATAAGCATAGTAATAAATATAATATAGCACTATTAATAGTATTTACTACTATATTAATAAGTATAGCCCTAGCTATAATCTACTAGTTAAAAGGCACTATTTACTATAGCTTTATAAAAATCGCCTTAATAAAAAAAGACTTATTAATATTACTAAGGCTATTAATCTAAATATAAAAAGGCAGAGGCATTAGCTTTAAAAAATTAAGTTAGTCTTAAAGATAGTTAATAAATAAATTAAAGACTAAGCGCTGCTTAAGGTTTAGGCGCTATATCTTTATATTTATTATAGTATCTTTTATAATAATAACTTTATTACTATATAGCTGCTTTTAGTATTAATAGCTAAAAGCTAAGAGGTTAAAGTATTACTTAATATAAAGGCATTAATTATATAAAATATTAATAAAGCAGTTTTTAAGTATTTTAATATCCTTAACCTTAAGCTTAAGATTAGGTAATTACTATATAAGCTGCTATTACTTTATATTAGCTATAGCTTTATTATCTTACTCCTCTTTTTTAAATTTCTTTAATAATAGTAAAAGAAGCTTAAAATAGTAGTTATTAAAATAGGCATTAAGATATAGCTTAATATAGTATTAAAATGCCTTTTAAAAGCTACTAAATTATATACCTTTTATAAATAAAAGACTAGCTAGATTATAATAGCTATAGTTAAGTATTAAATATATATAATAATACTGTTTATACTTATCTGCCTTTTTATTAAGATAATACTAAAGAAAGTAGTTAAGTACTTAAGCCTTTACTTTTATAAAAAATAGCCTTACCTTACTTTAGTTTATTATTATAAGCTATATAAAATAGCTTATATTCTTAAACTTACCTAGCTAATTAAAATACTTTTTATATATTAACTAAACTAGTTAAATACTACTCTTCTTAATAACCTTAATATAAAGCTATGCCTTAATTAGCTAGTAATTTATAATTAAGGTAATATATATACTCTTTTATAATAGTAAGTTTAATAAAAAATAATAAACCTTTTAGCTTAATTAATCTCTTTTTATAATAAGCTTATTTATAAACTTTATTATAAAGCTTACTAATAGCTAGTTACTTTTAATTATTAAAAGAATAGACTTAGCTATATTTTTATATAATATACTATATATCTCTACCTTATTAATATATTTAGTAATATATAAGAGGATAGTATAAGCGCTTATTATAAAAAAGATATTATAATTAATAAGCTAAGCTAGTATAAAAAGCTAATTATAATTATTTAGCTAAGTATTATTATATATTTTATTAAAAGTAAAGTAGGCTAAGTTAAAGTCCTAGAAGAGAATAGGCCTTTAGTATAATTCTTATAAAAAATAGAAATAGTAAACCTTACTATTTATAAGCCTTTTATTAAAGAGATAGTATTAATAAAGGTAATAAGCCTTTAAGTATTTATATACCTAGATAAGGTTAATAATATTAAATAGTAGTTAAAAGGTAGGCTTTTACTAGCATTAAGTAAGAGGATTGCCCTTTTTTTAAGGATTATTATACTTAGGCTATAGATTTAATACACTTATAAATAAGCCTTAGTAATTTATAAAAGCCTAGTAATTTAATATAAAGAAAAGGTTAATAAAAGGACTTTTATTAGCTTAATAAAGGCTATAAATATATATACTTCTTTTAGCCTGCTATTTATAATAATACTAATACTTTAAGATCTATAGCTTAAAAAGAATAACTATTTAAAGAAATATCTTAAAGTAGTAATTAAAATAATATATAGTAATATATAAATTATCTTTAAGATTTTATATTAAAATCCTTAGCCTATTATAATTTAAAGCAGCTTACTAAGTATTAAAATAAAGGAGATACTTATATAAGCTCTTTTAATAATTATTAATAATAAAAAATATAAGAAAAGTCTTAAAGCAGCTAAAAGCATATACTATAGCCTTTAGCTTATACTACTTACTGCTTTAATAAAGATAGGTTTTATAAAAACTCTTTAAATATTAAATAATAAAGTTTAAAAGTATTTAGGCTTTTAAAGTGTTATTATTAAATGCTTTATAAATATTATTTATAGTAAGTATATACTATATAGCCTAGCCTAGTCTCTTAATATAAAAAGCACTATAAGTATTAATTAATAATCTTATATATATATTAAACCTTATATACTAAAATTATAGGTATTTTATAAATTATTTATTATACTACTTTATAGTAAAAGTAAGGTATTATTAATAAATAATTAGTCTTTAGTATAGCTATATAAAGTTAGCCTAGCCTTTAAGATATAAAGTTAAGAATACTAAAAATAAAAGAGGTTAAGAGTAATTAAACTTATTTAATAAGGTTAAATAAATCTTAAGTATATATAAGAATAGCTGCTATTACTATAGCTAAAATGCTTAAAATACTAGCTAAGATTATAAAGGAATTTACTTAAGAGGCAGTTAGACCTAGCCTTTTAGCTTAGTATAAAGTTAATTAAGATTAGCTTAAGCTATAATAAGATTAAGAATAATAATAGTATTAAAATTATTATTTAATATATTATTATTATTAAAAATATCTTTAATATTAACTTTAGCTTATTAATAGTTTAAGACTTATTAAGAGATATTACTATCTTAAAGTAGCTAGCTTAACTAATCCTTATTAATAAGTATATTACTATAGCTTAAATAGTTCTTTTTTAAAAAAAGAAGCTATTATTAAATAGCTAATTAGTAAACTTAGAATTATATATAGAATTAATATATTATATAAGCCTAGTCTATTTTATTAGCTAGGTATAGGATAATAATATTAAGATTAAGTAAAAGTAAAAGAAGCTATATATATATACTATTAGTATTTTAAAGGAAATTAATAATATAGTTATAATATTTATACTATTAGCCCTTATACTAAAATACCTAAATATAAATATAAATATATAAAATAAGTATTTTTTTTATTTAAGAGAGGTTAAGTAAATAGCTAAGAATATTATTAAAGTCTAAGTTATTTATTATAAAATAAAAAAAAGGTTTACTTATATTATATTTATTATCTTTTTTATAGTATTAATAATAAATGCCTTATATAAGTTATTAACTAAACTACTTAGTTTAATAATAAAAGTAAAATTCTATTTAATATAAGTTAATTTATGCCTATTAAGTATAAATAAGCTATTAATTAAATAGTATAAAGGTAATAGCGCTAAGATCTTTTTAAAATAAAATATCTAGCTAAATAGGCTTTAAGATAGTAAGTATAAGTATAATACTATAACTTTAAAAGTGCTAGAAAGAAAGCGTTTATTATAAAAAGGATATATTAAGGTTATAAGCTTTATTAAAGGCAGGACTAAATGCTATTATAAATTTACTTCCTTAGCTTCTAAAAGGTCTTTAGCTTAAATAAGCTCCTTAGCTTTTATAGGCTCCCTGGCTTAAATAGGCTCCCTAGCTTTTATAAGCTCTCTGGCTTTTATAAGCTCTCTAGCTTTTATAAGCTCTTTAGCTTACCTTACCTCTAAAGGCGTTTATACTAGAATAAGGATGCTTAAATGCCTATTAGGCTTAAGACTATAATAAAGCTATAAGCTATAATATTACTAGTATAAAAGAGAGAACTTCCTTAATATACTAAGCTATATAATACTTATATTAAATAAACGCCTTTTTATTATAAGCTTCTTATTCTTAAAAGGTATTATTTAGATTTATACTATAGTAAAAAAACTATACTTTACTTATAGCTTAAGTTAAAAGCCTAAGAATAGTTATAAAGAAAAAGCTTATAATATATAAAGTAGTATTAAAAGTAATGCTAAAGGTAATATTAAAAGCTAGCTAAAGAGTAATACTTTATAAAGAAGTAAGGAGGATGCCTTAGTATTATAGTTATTTAAAAGACTGCATATTACTAATTATGCATTTACTTAATATAAAAAAGCTTTTAATAGCTTTAAAAATCTATAGAAATATTAATAAAAGTAATAATAAAGAGATAATAAGAAATAAATACAGCAGCTTATAAACAGAGCCTTTTACTGCTTTTAATAATTAAGGCATTTCTTAATAAAAGCTCCTAGCTTTTTTAAGTAAATAAAGGCATTTTTATGCTTTAGCTCTTTATAATATATATACTATTATAAAGGAATATTTAAGGCATCTTTAAGAGGCTTAAGGCCTTAATTACTAAAGGGATTAAGCAGTAAAGAGGTAGTAAATACTATAAATGCTATAGTATTAAGGCTGCTATTAATAGTAGTATTAATAATACTATAAGAGATACTATTAATGCTATTAATACTATTAATGCTATTAATACTATTAATACTATTAATACTATTAATACTGCTAATAATACTTTAAAAGGCCTTAATAAAAGTAAAAAGTATAATAAAATTTAAATTATAAAATTATATTTAAAAATATATTTACTATAGGTTATATTATATTACTAAGTATATAAGATTATATAACTAAATTTAAAAGCTTTAATTAGTTAACTTTAAAAGACTTTATTAAGATTATTTACTTAAGATATATTTCTTACACTATATAGGCATTTTTAAGAGATAAGATTTATATTATTCTAAAGCTTAAAAAGCATTGCTTTTTCTAGTATAACTATTATTTTAATACTTTAAAGCATAAGTGCATAATATAGTATTTAAAGTTATTAATTAGGTATATAAATGCTAAAGAATCTTATAATACTATAACCACTATATTATAATACTAACTTTAGCTTTATAAAAACACTATAAAATAATATCTTAAATATATTATAAAAGCAGTAAAATAGTAAAAAGGACTAATTACTAGTTAACTTTTTTTTTAACTTCTCTAGCTGTTTAAGAGAAGCTAAATTAATAACTAAGTAAAGCTAGAAGCAGCAAACACTCTAGTAATCCCTGCGCTCTGCTGCTTTACAGCTTCGCTTAGGATTAAACACCCTTCTCCTTTGCCTCCTCCTTCCGGAGCCTATCTATCAGCTTGTCCCTTAAGAATGGGCTCAAGCCAAGGCTACAATCAAACAGTTAGCCAAGAAGAAGGGGACAATAACGAGCCACGGGTGTTCGAAACTTACATTCCCTCGTTGGTCACGATCCTGTATGTTCCGCTCGGCTGCAGCTTGCCGACAACCTGCCCAGACTCATCCACTTCAACGCTGCCCAGAATATCCTCCGGCCACGCGATCCGACCAAAATCCGGTGGATTTCTGCGATCGCTCAGGTGGACGAATCCGCCCCGGCCGGCACCGCCTGGCCCGCCCTGTGCGCTCGCTCCTCCAGCTCCATCTCCGCCAGCTCCGCCTCCACCGCCCTGCTTCCGGGAGGATCCTGAGTGGCGCCCTTGACGTTGGCCGGGAAAGAATGAGCCTCCAGATCCGAGGTTGAAGCCTCCTGGACTCGCATAGGCTCTTGCCTGTGCGATTACATCTTCGTCCTGGTGGCCGTATTCGGAAACGACTTCGTTGAGGATTGAGACAAACTTGGGGTTTTGCTTGAATGACTGTGGGGTGGGGGGAACTTCTGTAGTAGAACCAATGGCAAGCGATTTTGAAGGAGGATTCGTGTCTAGATAGGTGAGGATATGTGATGAGGGCGCTGATGTATCTGGAAAGACTTTCTGATATGGATCTGGTCAGCTGTGAATTCTCAACGAAATTCGTATAGGTCCACTGCGACTCACGATGAAGGAGTTATTCCTCAGGGTAGATACTGCTCTAATGAACAGCCCGGCCTTTCGTGAGGTCACTCGAAGCTTTGTTGATATCATATCTGCGGTCTTTGGGTCTGTGAATCAGATTTGAGAAGCCTCCGTTGTGCGAGGATGGAAATACAATGCCGGCAGATTTTAGGTCCAATGAGGTCATTCAGAGCGGCAGCTTCTGTAATTGAAGCTCCAAGACTGGACGTTACCCCACGCTCCCCGTTATGTGCAATTATGCATCTACAAGAAATCAATTAGACGCGTCGACGCGGTTCCCCTCCAAAGTTCGCGATAAGATGGACCATGTGAATTGAGTAAAAGGTCGGATTTTTCAGGCACAACTTTAATATCGAATATCATATCAAGCAGTTGGCTTCCCCCTCAATATCTTCTCTCTTCTGGCCGAGCGATGCCGGCTTCAAGCGGCTAAGATCTTCCGCACCAAACCATGGACAAAACACCAGCTCCCATCTTCCGCAAGCAGCGGCCACTGATTCCCTCCTCGTCAGTGGCGCCGTCCTCCTCCCCAGCATTCGGCACTCCAGTCCACCCTCCGAAGCCGTTCAGCATCAATGCGCCCAAAGCCGCGATCCTCCCCATCATCCTCCCGCCCGCGACTCTCCGACCGCTCGCCTTCCGCACATTCACAAAGAAGCACTCTCTGACCCTCACCTCGTCTGCATTGCAAGAGCTCGCCTCCTTCATCGGGCGACATTGCGGCTCAGGATGGCGCGAGGAGGGCTTAGCAGAAAGGGTGCTGGAAGAGGTGGCGAGGAGCTGGAAGAACCGCAATGGCGGCGTCATAGTGGAAGGGTCGAGCAAGGAGCTGCAAGATATCCTCAAGACCCTGGAGGGGAACATGAGCGGCGGCAAGATCATAGGCCCGGCCAGAGGGCTCCCGAGAGGAGACAGCATGCTGGACATCAATGATAGCGACACATTAAACGCTAGACTGGGCATCAGGCCGGCGGCACTCCCTCGACAAGACAGCAATGCCAGCTTCGGCATGTCGGGACTGGGGGTGCAGGAGGAGGCAGAGGACGATGATGACGAAGCCAACGATGCCCGCGCCTGGTTAAAGGTGATTGACGCCTACGAGCAGCCGCGACTCGTTTACAATGTGGATAAGAAGCACTTTGAAAGGTAAGATATGCACTTCTCGACTGTCCGTATCCTGCCTTGTGTGTGCGATACCTCCCATGCTCACTCGTCAAACCATAACAGAGACACGGCCAAACCCTCATTGCTACCCCCGGCGTCTCACAAAACCACCGTGTTTCGAAACCGATACCACGTCATTCACCAACGTCTCCTCCGAAACGAATCCTTCCAGACCTCTTCCGTCACTTCATCCCGCAAACACACTCTCCACCGCTCACTCTCCAATCAACAATCCCTCAAAATCACGCCCATTGCCAACTTGCTTGGTCGGCATGGAACCAACCACATGCTGCTCGGCCAGCTGAACTTGTTGCCGACAGGAGACCTTGCCATCAGCGACCTGACAGGCACCATTGCGCTCGATCTTTCACAGGCCGTCGTCATTCCTGAGGATTCGGCATGGTTCTGTCCGGGAATGATGGTCCTCGTGGACGGTGTATACGGGGAAGAAGAGGAATCAGTCGGCAAAGGGTTGAGCGGCAGCAGCGGTGTTGGAGGGACCCTGGGTGGCCGGTTCCAGGGCTTCTTCATCGGACAGCCTCCTTGCGAGAAGCGAAAGGCGACGCTGGGCATCACTGGGCTCGATTCAGCCGACCACGAGACCATCGGTGGAGGCTTTGGCTGGATCGACTTTCTTGGCGTCGGGAGCGAACGTGCAGTGGGATCGAAAATGCGAAGGCTAGAGAGGAGGCTGCTGCAAGCCGCCCCTGAGCCAGACATGCCGTCTCGAAACCGGGTGGTGATTATCGGCGAAATCAACCTCGACCAGCCGCGGGCCCTCCAAGCCCTCCGCAAGATCCTGTCGCTATACGCCGCCGAGCCTGAAGGAACCTCGCCGCTCACGTTTGTCCTGGCCGGCAACTTCACGCAGCACGCCGTCATGGCCCGGGGTGGCAGCGGCGGCAGCATTGAGTACAAAGAATACTTTGACGCCCTTGCTTCCACCTTTTCCGACTTCCCGACTCTCCTCTCCTCCTCGACCTTTGTCTTTGTCCCTGGCGACAACGACGGCTGGGTCTCCTCCTTTACAGCCGGCGCCTCGGTGCCGCTGCCCCGCAAGCCCGTCCCGGAAATGTTCACCTCGCGCATACGTCGTGCTTTTGCTACCGCCAACGCCGAAGCTGGCAACACTGGCGTTCAGGGCTCGGCGGTATGGACAAGCAACCCAAGCAGGTTGTCGCTCTTTGGGCCAAACCATGATATCGTCCTCTTCAGAGACGATATATCCGCCAGACTAAGGCGCACCGCAGTCACTCTCAAGCGCAAGCCCGCCGCCGAAACAGACGGCGAGCCAAACAACAACGCTTCTTCTTCTTCTTCCCACGCCCCCCCCAAAGATAGTAGAGACGACGGCCCGGCGTCATCCGCCCCCGAAGACGCCATGGAACTCGACTCCGCAGCAGCAGCAGCAGCAGCCCCCGACAAGCCCCCCTCTCCCTCATCATCCCCCGCCGTCTCTCCTCTCCCCCTCGAGACCAAGACCGCCCAGAAGCTCGTCAAGACGATCCTCGACCAGGGCTACCTCTCGCCCTTCCGGCAGTCCACGCGCCCCGTGCACTGGGACTACGCCTCGGCGCTGCACTTGTACCCCCTGCCCACCGCCATGGCCCTGATCGACACGACGGCGCCCCCGTTCTGCATCACGTACGAGGGGTGCCACGTCATGAACCCGGGGAGCGTCCTTGTGCCGGGCCGCAAGGGCGTGGGGAGGTGGGTTGAGTATGAGATTGGACGGCTGGGCAAGTTGAGGGAGTGTACGTTGTAAGTTTACCATGCAAAAGAAACATTGGGGGATTTGTCCTCTTTGCTGTTTTTTAATTATCTGAGGGGTAGGATATGAGAGGGGGGAGGGGGGTCCAAAGGGGAAAATCTTGCTTGGTGGGATGATGTTTATGAAATTTAGACTGCAGCGTCAGTTGGTACGCATGATATATGAGCTGGAGATGAATACCATGGTCAATGGATATGGAGCATCATGAACCTTAGTGAAGATGTGATATTTTATGTAGAATATCCCAGAAATTCAAAGCCGTGTTATCACGGATCCCGCTGCGTATATTTCGTTTATATCCCTCCAGTCGTGATTAACCAGCCTTTTCCCCCCTTTGAATAACGCCAAGGAAAAGAGAAAAAGAAATGTCGTGAAATTTCAACCTTATCCGTCCTTGCTTCACTCCAGAAGCAGTTCATCCTGCCGCAGCACGCCAAACAGCCCCTCAATCTCCTTCTTGATCTTCTTCAACTCGGCAGCCACCTGCGCGGTGACAAGGGTGTACGCGTAAAGCAGGGCATAGTCTCGCTCTTGCGTCACGGCCTGCACGGCGTCCTCGTCGTTCCTCAGGTTCATCTCCATGTGTTCCTTGCGGTACTGGTAGATCTTGTTCAGCAGCCGGTCTCTGGTGCGGTCGATTGTAGGAATGGCGTCCGTGAGAGGGTACTCTAGCATGACGCAGGATGCGAGGACCTGGAAAACGTGGCAGAGGCGTTGGCAGAGCTGCATCCTTTCGCTAGCCGTGATTTCTAGCAGGGCACTCTCGCCCTCGGAGAGTGTGTCTCGGCGTTGCGTGATGAGGCGCATGGCGTAGATGCCGTCCAGGATGTGCTTGGTTGAGTGCATGATGCGGCCGTAGGCAGCGTTGGGGAACGGCCCGCGGAGTTCAAACTCGGATTTGGCAGACTCTCGCAGTGACTCCAGTTTGTAGACTGTAACCAGAGACGGCGCTGATTAGCCAAGGGGGCAATGACACTGCCTGGCAGAAGGTGTCCAACTTACCATATCGTCGGAGGGCTGTCTGCTCCCCCTCTTTCAGGAAGTCTAGGCCACTGCTATTCCCTTCAAGTGGCTGAGCCAAAGGACCGCGCTTCCAAATGAGTCCAAGCTGCAGATATAATACTGCGAGCCCCTCTCTAAACTTCTTCCTCCCAGAGATGGGCCACAGCAGTCGACATACGAGAATCCCCCAGACGATTCCCAGTGTGACTGCCACTACACGATGGTATGTAATCTCGAAGATGAGAGGATCAATTCCGCCCTCATCATCGTCGTCGTCATCAACATCCTGCGTCAGACTGTAAGCATACAACACGATGACGTTGTATGCCAGCAGCGAAATTCTCCCCAAAGGAGCTTTCTTCAAGACTAGGATCACATAGAAGTTTCCCAACGCCACGATGGCCGTACAGAGCTCAAGAAGCCAGGGGTTAGACATACTCGACAACCATGCGAGGCAAGCACAGGCACCCCCGATCAGGGTGCCAATGAATCGGGCGCTTCCCGTGGTGTTGGAGGCACCAGTGGTCATGCCAACGACAATCATGTAGGACAGCAGGCCCCACTCGCCTCTCCAGTGTTGGTATACCGGCCTCGTAGCTGGGATAAAGGCAAACATGGCCCATAGAACGGCACCGATGCCGACTTTGATTCCGAATAGCACATCTTCGCGTGTAAGAATTCGACCGAACCCGAGTAAAGCTTGGGAGAATCTGCGAACGAGGATACTCGTCTTCTGCGGCGCAGCATCCCAATGGAACGAATCTCTCTTCTGCAACATGACTTTGGGCAAATCACCTGGGGTAGGCGATTTCACCCGGCTGGGCTTCGGCTTCGAGGCCAGCAGGGGTTGCTGCTCCGCATCGAGATCACTGCGACGTTGAAACACCTTCCAGTGCCTCCAGAACCTGAGCCACTTCCAGCTGCGATCTGGAGACTCTGTCGAGCGCTCCAAGGACTCGAGGACGTCGAGGTAAGCATCCATCTCCTCTGCTACAGCCTGCAAGCAGAAAGAAAAGTGGCCGCAAGCAGCGGCCACCTCCTCGATATCGGCTTGGATATCCTCGGACCGTGACCTCCCAAGCTCGATACTTCGATATAACTGGCGAAGAGCCTTGCCCCTAGCAGTGTTGTACAGATCCAGCGCATCATGGAGGCTCGCACGCAAATGGTCATTGACAGCCACTTCCTGGTCAGGGCCGCTGCCAAAGGGATTCTCCTTCAGCGTCTCAGAGAGAGTATATGCCAAAGACTTCATGGAAGGACCCAAAAGTGCCAGAAACAGTGCAAATATGTCGGACGGTACACGAAAGATGGGCGACTTGTCCAGAGTAGGGTCTGAGTGGCTGTTGAGGGCCGAACGGCGTTCGAATTCGTCCTCTTCAATGACCGACAGCCGATCTCTGGAATCATCAGAAAAGTACGAAACATTTCGAGACATGGTGGCCGGCTCAGGTGAGAAGAAGCTCGGCGGCGGCGGCACGGCAGAGCTAGGTCCCTCTTTGAGAAGCGTCAGCTGTGTCTGAAGCGCACTACGCAGACCCCCGATTGCCTGTGACAGCGTTTCCAACGACTTGATGAGACGCTTGTCCAAGGAGTAGATTTTCTCCCTCCCAAGGACATACTGCTCGATCTTGGCCTCTCGAAGAGTCGTCATTGTTTGGGCATACGCCGAGTTATACCGGGCAGATGCCTGAGTATACTCGGGAGAGCTGACCTCGTCCTCCGAACCATTCAAGAACCCACTGGTGATAAGGGACAAGCGGTCGCTCAATGCTACGGCTGCAGTGCGAACAGACTGGCGCAGCACCTTCCTTGCCGACACGCGCCACACCAGGAGGTTGACAGCCACGGTGAAGGAGATGCCAAGCAGCAGCAACTTGAACATCTGGACAATCTTGCCCGCTGAGAAATAGCCGTTGGCAACGGATTCTTCTTTTGTGATGACTGATATGATGGCCATGGACGCCAAAGTAGACGCGGTATTCACAAGGGGCTGGTTTAACCGTTGCTTGGTCCAACCAACCAATCCAAGACCACCCCCAATGCAGACGACCAGGACAAGGGCGTGTGCGGGAGCGACTGATCCCGATATGGCGCGAGAGGCCATGGCTATGCCCATTGACAAGACCCCGACCAGCTCGGCATATACCACGGCCACAATGGCAATCATGACAGCCTCCAGCATCGATCCGGCGGTGCGAGCCGGGTGGAAGTACACCGTCAACGTTGCCGCAATATGCTTGCCATCTCTGCGGCCTAGGAAGTTGGACAGCGGCGGCCAGAACGTCGCCGTGGTGCCCAAGAGGTAGGCCAGCGTACACTTGAGCACCTGTCGACCCTCGTCGGTCTGGAGCCACGCCCACGCCGCCAGGGCCTTGGTCCGAGCAAGCTTCGAGGCCGCCCGGATGCGCTGTCCAACCGCGATTCCAGACGCAGCCGGCGGACGTCGCTCGGGCCCATTGCCGTGTGATCGGCTCCTGGGCGCGCGGAGGGTGAATTGGCGCCGTGACCGCTCGCCCGTGGCAGGGATGACGAAGGTGCCATTGCGCATTTTCTACGTGCGAGAGCGAGTCTGAATTAGCGACTGGGTCTAGCAGAGAGCCCTCATGCAGAGCAGTCTCGAACGGGGAAGAGGCGAGTGACGTACGCTCCTCTTGGAGGGCCGCGAGGGCGGCAACGCGGCCGCGGTCGAGTTCGAGGAGCCGTTACCGTTGGAGCTGCTCATGGCTGCGGTTGGTGGCGGGACAGCATTCTCGTGGGCTCGGCGATGGCCCGCGGCCGTCTGTCCGGGTTGAGGCCGCGAGCGGTCCAATTGTGTGTGGCAATTGCAGTCGACGCTGTGGCAGGAGCTGCGTGGGATGGGGTCTGGCAGTGGGATCAGGCTTGCGCGGCTGAAGCTAGCAGTCAGACATGAAGCTTGGCCACGATGATGGATGGGAAATGGTTGGAGTGCGGAAGCGCTAACAGCTGGGGAGCAGACACACCCTCAAGGGCAACAGCTCCAAGTGCTCCAGCTCCAGGGCTGCTAATGGAAAGTTCGAGGTCAGTGGGCGCTCCACCACCTCTGACAGGGGCCCGACTGCCGGGAGCTGTTGGGCGCAGCGGCCGGTTAGCGGCCCTGAGCGCGCCAGCCTGGAGCGCTGTCCAGGTACCGGCAGTGACAGTTCCAGCGGGGCTGCCAGTGGGCCGCATGTGCTCCGGGCTTGGTGCGGGCATGGAAGTTGAGCCGTCACTTGCGAGGTGCCGGGCGGAATCAGACGGGACATCTGCACTGCTGGAAGCCTTGGCGATCTGGCTGAGCCGATATCTTTCCATGTATTTAATTAATATTCGTGCTAGTGCCGACGTGAGGTTTGGTACATAGCAAGAACGGCATGTCATAGAGACGGAGTCAGTCCAGCTGGCAGTTGGCTGGGCTATTACATGTACATACCGCCCAGGGCGTCTTTGGGCGCTGCTGCACGCCGCCAGCGACCTCCAGCGACCTGGGCGGTCCATTAGGCTGCGCCACCACCAGCAGCACGACCACTAGCCACCCTATGCTCAATGCCCTGGGCTGCCTTATCACCCGACCCGACACTATTCGCACTCGCTCAAGCACCTCGTCAGCCGTCGACATGAACCTTGCTCCTTGTCGTTGGTCCCTCTTTGAGCCTCTTGCATACGTCCAGCCGCAACGGATCTTGACGCTCTAATGCTTGGCATCGTGCACATCCATGGAGCCCAATTCAAGAGCCATAGCCCTATTGAATTTAACATCTCAGGTGGAAAACCACGATAAGCCTGTTCTGTCGCTCTAGCCTTTTCACGCCCTTCGTCTTGGGACTTGTCTTCCTCTTTTTCTTCCTCCATTTCTCTCACCCTCCCCTCTCGTCACACACTCTCTCCGGCGTCTGGAGCCTGTGTGTGCCAACTGACATACAAAGACGCTTTCGCTTTGGTTATTCAACTGCGTCCCACAGGCTAAATCGACACGCTGGCCGCATACTCGTATATCCGAAGACGGCTCTTGTCCGCCATGGCTTCTCCAAGGCCCAGACGGTTCGCCCCTTTGCGAGCAACGGCAGATCCGTCACCGTTCCATGGCGATCCGCCGCTCAAGGGCATCATTTTCGACATGGACGGAACGTTATGGTATGAGTGACCTCGCACCGCTGCGGCTCTTCACGCCTTTCGCCCCTACGCAAGTTTTACCATGATCGAGTAGTCTCACCATTACTCTTGCCTTTCTGCCCTGCTCCCCTTTTTTTCAACCAAAAGATTGCTTCACAAAGGCGTAAACTATTGCCTTATATCAAGCTTCCAATGTTGCTACTTGGCAATAAGTGACTCTTTCTCGATTTTGTGGCATCGAGCTTGACGGGTTCGCTGGGCAGCCTCGTCGACATGAGGCTGCATGCAACCTGACTCACTCACTCGCTTATACCACCCCCCTCCCCTCATTTTGACAATGAAAGAAGCATTGAAAAGCACATCAACAGGACAGACAGAAGAAAAGAAGAAGAAAACACATAAAAGTTCCCTCGAGTTTTCGGGTCCCTAAACTGACACCCTTCACAGTGAGCCACAAACATACATGTTCCGGGAAATGCGCTCCGTCCTCGGCATCCCCCAGTCCGTCGACATCCTCGAGCACATCGACAAGCTGCCCGCCCACCAGCAGCCCCCGGCCCACGAGGCCATCCGCGCCATCGAGCGCAAGGCCATGGCCGCCCAGACGCCCCAGCCGGGCCTCGGCGCCCTCATGGCCTGCCTCGACGCCTACCGCGTGCCCAAGGCCATCTGCACCCGCAACTTCGATATCCCCGTCCAGCACCTCATCGCAAAGTTCCTGCCCGAGTCCCGCTTCTACCCCGTCATCACGCGGGACTTTCGCCCGCCCAAGCCGCATCCCGCCGGCATCGTGCACATCGCGCAGAGCTGGGGCCTCGTCGACGACTCCGGCGCCGTGGACACGAGCGGCCTCATCATGGTCGGGGATTCCCTCGATGATTTGACGGCCGGGAGGCTGGCTGGCGCGGCCACGGTGCTGCTGCTCAACGATGTGAACAAGGAGCTGGCCACGCATGAGCACACCGACTTGGTCATCACCCAGCTCGACGAGTTGGTCCACATCCTGGAAAATGGATTCCAGGGGAGAAACATAGAGCCAGCGCGGATACTACTGTGATTTCGAAAAGGCATCTAAAACGTTTAGACTCGGGCGCTTCTCAGCATAAAGCATACATCATGTAATCAAATCCATTGTTGGCCGTATCGACGTACGTATTTACATACTCTTCTTGCATATGGGAGACAAAAATGGGCCAAATCCAACAACTCAAAAAGCTTACTGCGCAATTGCAAAAGTTTCTTTGCCGCTTTCCTTCAGTCTCTCTCAATCCGTCTCTCCTTTTTTGTTTGTTTATCCAACTCAGCCTGCTTCGCTGGATTCCAACCGCATAAAGCGTTTTCAGAGCATATGCGTCACACCAAGAACATGAACCACCAGGAGATACAAGCGGTTGCCATGCGTGTCGAGGGAGGCCAAGGAGATTTCTTTTCGCATGTGCAACTTGTAGCTGTCTTCACAGAGTTCACAACCCCACTCAAAAGTGACATTCTTTCTAATTTGTGCGTCCATGGCCAGACGTACCTAGCGTGCAGAGAAGAGACGCAAAATCCATCACAAAACTATATGTGCGCCGAGTTGATGCTAAAGCAGGACGCTGACGAGGGTATGTAGATACATGTTTGGTCAGAGGGGGTCTAATCGTATGGCGGCGGCGGATCCTATACGCCGTATGAAGGGTTCGGGGGCAGCCCGTAAGTCTTGACCTGCCTCCGGCTCTGACCCCGTGCCTCGTCTGACGCCGACTTTTGCGGTCCTTCCCGCGAAAAGGAGCTTGTGGGTGGTGCTGGTCGGACTGGGAGACTGAAGGTGGTCGGGTTGGAGGAAGAGTGGTGGGAACCGTCAGAGTAACCAGACGCCGGGTTTGAGGTGACACCCCGAGGTGCGAGGCTCGGATGGCCGGTCCGGCTGGTCGCAGCACCGTTTCGCGAGGGTGATCGGTTTTGTGTAGCCGCTTGGTCGCGGGGCGAGAACAGCCGGTCCCCGGCGATGGGAATGTCGCCAAAGACGGGGGTGTCGAGCGGCACCTCTTCGTTTCGCGACTGTGGCGATGAGTCGCTTGATCGGAGCAGCTCGTGGGTGCCGCTGGGCGAGAGCTGGGGCACAAGATGAGACTTGCGGTTGTCCCTCTCCATGAGACCAACAGCCCACTCCTTGAGGTCCACCGGGGTCCTCTTGGCAGCCTGAACAAAGGGGTCCCGTTCCTAGAAAGCACGGTCTCAGTCAGAGCTGCTGGCGATGCCGTACAAGGGCAAACAACAAAGGGCATGTCAACTTACATATAGCTCCTGCGGGGTGGGTCGCTTCTCCGGCTCCTTGAACAGGCACTTCTGAACCATGTCCTCCAAGATGCTCGGGAAAGCGTCGCTCTTGGGAAGCTTCGGCGCCGGCTCGTTGACAATCTGCTGCAGCAGATCCAATATGCCAGCCGGGGCTGATTCGGCATCGTCAATGTGCTCGCTCGCGTTGAAGGGGAATTTACCAATGGCAAGCTCCATGATGGTCAGGCCAAAACTCCAGACGTCTGACTTGACAGTGTACTTCTCACCCTGAATTCGCTCGGGCGCCATGTAGGTTGATGTGCCGACAAAGGTGTCGGCGATGGAGTTGACGAGCTCGCCAGACACTCCGAAATCACACAGCTTGATGTTGCCGCGGGAGTTGATGAGGATGTTCGACGGCTTGATATCTCGGTGCATAATGTGGTGTTTGATGTATAGGTAGGTCAGGCCGCCCAAGGTTGCCTCTGCAATCTTGCCCAAGACGTCCACTCGAATCGGGCCAAAGACTCTCGAAACTCGGTCAAGCGCACTGAGCAAGCATCCCGATCAGCCACACTTCCATAATCTGACCCAGCCACGCGATCGTAACTGCGTAGAGCAAAGTGATACTCACCCAACATCCATGTATTCCATGCACATAATGACATCGTTGTTGTGATTCAAAAAGGCGCCATAGAATGTGACAATGTGTTCGGAGTGGCATCCATGCATAATCTGGAGCTCCCGCACGATCCGCCTTCGCATCTCTTTCTTGGCTTCGACGTGTATTATCTGGACACTTGAATGTCAGCTCCGAGGCTCCAACAAAGGAGGCCCAAAAGATTTCCAGCTCTCAGGGGCAACAGGTGGTACGGGTAACGCACCTTGCGAGCCATGACAGTTCCCGTCGTCAGATGCCTGACTTTGCTAACGGTACCACCATTGCCAGACCCGAGTTCTTTTATGACTTCAAGCTCCTCCGGCCTCAAGTCGAGCTTGTACTCGATACCAATCTCCAACTGCTCCTCCTTGCCGGCCTCGTCTTTGTTAACTTCTGAGCCGCGTCTGCTCGTGTCGGCCGTTGGCGGAGGGCGAGGCGCTGCCGGCGTCAGAGCAAGGCCCTTGACGTTCTTGCGCTTCATAGTGCGCGGCGCGAATGGGTCAGCCATGGTCGGCGAGGTGAAGGGGTGCTGTATCGGCGAGGTTCGGTAGCAAAGGCGGCGGTTGACAAGGGAGGTTCGAGTCTTGGGCCAGCTAGGTGATGACTGGTTTCCAAGCTCTGGCCAGAGGCACGATGGACGGCAGAGAAATCTCCTCGTCAGCCAGCAGGGCTGCGTTCGTCAAGGAGATGTCGGGTAGATGGTCGGAGCCTTGCGTGTGGAGCGAAGGGGAGTGATGCGTCGTCGCTCGGAATGGCGCAGTCTGGGGCAGATTCTTCGTCAAGTCGCAGGCGGTCGGCTTAGAACAGGTCCGGACTGCGGCGACGCTCCCTAGACGGATAGGCGGCCAGAGATGAAGAAAAGGAAGAGGCCGAGGATTTAGTAGAAAAGCCTCTGGGCGTTGTCGTTGTCTCGCTTCTCCGCAGATGAAAGGACACACCCCTCGATGGATATTTACAGGTCGACGGTACCAGCAACAGGTGCCCGTTCAACTTCTCCGTGCTCCGTGCTCCGTGCACCAAGATCCCAGGTCAAAGCGACGGGTCGCGGCTAGCGAGCGGTGCCCAGGCCTGGAGTAGCGGTTACAAGTGCAGGCGGTACCCGTAGCCTGTAGCCTGTAGCCTGTAGCCTCTCGCTGCAGCGGTCCAGTGTGGAGTCCTGCAGAGATAACGTGATCCCGGCCGTTTCTTTGGCGGAACCAAGACGGCGAAGCTCCAGTTCAAAGAATCGAAGGCTGGCATTTGTTTGAATTCTTTCTTGTTTTCTCCAGCCTGCATTTGCTCTTTTAAGTCCTCCTCGACGGCAAAAGGAGCACATGCGATGAAATGCCGCGCATGGAGATTTTCGCCAATCATGCCGCGCCGACTTCTATTTTTGTCGCCAGCAGCCACACACACAGTCGCTGCTTGACATGCACGATGCCTGTTTGGGCGACCCCAAGAGCCACCAGAGCCAACCCCTGGGTCGTTGGCTCTGGTTTTAGGCGCCGGAGCGCGCTGGGCCCCCCTATCAGTGGACAGCATTGGCCCTACCTAGTACTAGTAGGACGGACGCTGTGCTCTTGCAAGACTGATGCATCCAAGCATCCAGACGCACCGCATGCTCGATCATGGGCATCAGTTACTACTACTACTCGCATTATCAACACCAAAACAGTGCTGCCGCGAGTCACGTCCTGGTGGTTCCTCGTCCGGCGGGGTCCGGGCCATTCCCGCGTGCCCTAGCGAAGAGACGGCACGTTTGGACATGTTCTCATGTATACGAAGCCCAGAGGGATGAAACCCGGCTAACATGGTAAACACTCCTGAGCTCGCCAATCATGCACAGCGATTCACGTCCAGCATCTCTCAGGGCCTCCCAACTCCCCAGCGAGCACTGCGCGAACTAGCGCTGAAACTCGAGATGGTGTATGCGGGACGATTCAGGTGACGGTGCCTGTTTCTGTGCCTCCAGATCTCCATCTCCTTTCCGTCTCCCTCCCAGAGTACCCTTCCAGACGGCTTTGGCGGTTGAACAGGGTCAGCTCAAGGGCACATCTGCCGTCTCACCCCCCCAAGTGCGTTGCCTGTTTCAATATCGCCCCGTCGTTTTCCCTGGCATTGTGTTACACTGATTCGTTTCAAAGCATCTTCCTGGGGGAACCTGCCTCTAAGAAGTATTGAGCGTCCCTTTCTATCGCAGGCACTTGGAAGACTTTGGCGTGAATTTGTCATTTTCTGGCTTTGCATCAGCATCGGTGAAAAACGAACTCTTCCTACGTGTATTTAGGAAACGCTGCTTATTGCTCTCGAGACCTTGGCGGCCGCTTTCACGATCAATCAGCACCATGAATCCTTTACAGGGTATCGTGGAGACTCGAGATAGTCTTGATCGGGGCTGCCAATCGAATTACAAGTACCCGGCATGATGTTGAAGACAAGTAATGACTTTTTCGCCATTATCACGAGCTACACATTCACTCGACAACCGCCAAGTCACTCTACAACGCCGGTTCCCGACTTCTCGTCCTCCCTCTCGTCCTCAGTCAACATTTAGTAGCTGCCGTTGATGGTGGGGTCTGCGATCCGTCTTTTAATCCAAGTCTCCCGCTTGCCGCCAATCTGCGGGGCTCAGCGTTTAGATGCCAACATGTTAACGACGCTCAGGGACTTCCAGCTGGTATGAGAACTGCGACTCCACATTGGTTGTGTGCTTCAGAAGCTGAGGCCCGATCCTGAAGCTAGAGCGAGCTGCAGCAGATAGTAGTAGTACTACCTACTAGGTACCTATGTATGTGCTTGCCGCTTCCCGAATGCTCGGGAGCGGGGGGCATACTACTAGCATGTGGCCATATAATGACACTGACCTGGCTGCATACCAAGTCATGCAGTGGCATTGCCTTTTTCCCGAGAGTGCTGAGTAGGGTAGTCTCTTTTTATTAGAAGACGGAGATCCAAAAGGTACCAGTAACTGCGTAGACTGAGGTGGTGTCACTCCGGAATCGAAGCTGAATTTGCCGAGCTGGTAGCAAAAACGTGATGGAGCCTGTTAGCAGCATATTTTCGATTGTTACCCCATACTATGGAATCTCAATCCTGAATTTCGTCGCTTCCCTTCATACCCATTCAAGAATAGAGATAGAGACCGACGTGTATCAATGGAAGACACAAGCAATTCACACTACTGATGGCTATACAACTACTTATGTAAGGACGGGAGTGTGGCTTGTGGGGATTATGTAAGCCAGCAGATAACTCGGAATAATCATAAATCCGGGTACCCCTGCCACACGCGACACGAGGCTGAAGGCTGCCGGCGAGACCACCTCAAAAATTCATTGTAGACTTCTCAGGAGAGGGAAGCCCAGCTGGTCTCATCAAGCTCTTCGGCATTTTCTGCGGGAATCAAGGCCATCTCCCCGGTTTCATCATTATTCAGCCAAATCCCCTCCTCATCTGCGTCCTTCGCGCGCAATTCGGACGCGAGCCTCTCCATCGACCTTGTGACATTCATTCAACGCGATAGCGCCCACCACCGACAAGATGAGCTCCGCGATGCGTGATTTGATCTCGGGAGAGGCAGAGCTGGATGACGAGGAAGATGATGAGTCCTTTGATGAAGAGACTGGCCAGGAGCGCCGGAGGAAGCCTGCCGCCCATATCGACGACTCCAGCGAAGAGGAGGAGGACGATGACGACGAGGAAGAAGCTCGCAAGGTAACACCGAAAGCGCCGTTTCGTTGCTGACACACATTTCCGCTAACGCGCACAACCATTGCAGATCCGCGAGGGCTTCATTGTCGATGAGGACGAAGAGGAAGAAGAGGCCGAGTCCGACGTCGAGAGCCGGCCAGTAAAGCGAAAGCGAGAGCATCGGAATCGCGAGGAGGAAGAACTACTCGACGAAGAAGATTTGGAGCTCATTGGCGAGCAATTTGGAGAGCAGCCAAAGCCCCAGGCACCAGTTAGCCCTTTCAACTTTCCGCGATGGTATCAAGTGATTTCTTGTTCTGACACCCCATAACTAGTCAAAGTTCAAACGCCTCAAACGTGGCCACCGAGACGAGGACGATACCGGCCACGAGAAGCGAGGGCTGGAAGAAATCTTTGCGGATGAAGAAGACGATGTCGCCGAGCAACGTGGCTATGGTCGATCCGGCTTCCGTTCCCAAGTCGACGAGTTCGATGACTTCATCGAGGAAGATTACCCCGAGGATGAAGACGAGCGCATACGCCAGCAGGAAGATGCCGAGGTCGCCCGCCCTAGAGATCGCGGTGTCGGAGGCGTTGTCGACACCACTGGCCTGGACAAGGATGCCCTGGATGATATGGAGGCCATTTTCGGCAACGGCGAAGACTACGACTGGGCGCTCCAGATGGAGGAAGAGGAGGAGGATCGAGAGAGAGAAGAGCAAGGCATCGAGCTCAAGGATGTCTTTGAGCCTTCACAACTTAAGGAGAAGCTGCTCACTGATGAGGATAACGAGATTCGGTTCACGGACGAGCCCGAACGCTTCCAACTCGATCGCAAACCTTTCAAGAACCTGCAGCTCACTCCCGACCAGTTCAAAGAGGAGGCTCGATGGATTACCAACCAGCTGTGGCCGAAGAAGGGCTTGACCCAGGAACTCCAGGCTCCTTTTGGCAAGGCGGTCGGTAAAGTTCTCGAGTTCTTCATTGTCGACGAAGTCGAGGTGCCGTTTGTGTTCCAGCACCGAAAGGACTACCTCCTCCATTCCAAAAAGATCCGAAAGTCCACGCGAGACGACCCCGACGGCCCCGATTACACGATCCAGTCAGACAAGCTGTTGAACCAGGATGATCTTTGGAGGATTCTGGAGCTTGACATCAAGTTTCGCTCCTTCGTCGAAAAGCGGAATGCACTTGAGAAGTCGTATGACAACCTCAAGTCCATGGACGTCAAGGACGAAATGGTCGAGGAGATGATCCCCGAGGCCACGACCATGGAAGAGATTCAAGACCTGCAAGACTACCTGCAGTTCCAGTACGCCAACAAATTGCGAGATCTCGCGTCTCTATCCGGCAATGCATCACAAACGAAACGACCGGGTTCAAAGTCCTCACTGCTCGACCGTGTTCGCAACGGCAAGGCGTATTACTTTGTCAAAGCATACGGTATCACTGCTGATCAACTGGCGAAGAACGCTCTTCGCCAGGGCCGAAAAGTCGCACCGGATGATCACGAGCAGTATCCGATGGACCTTGCTGATTCTCTGACTGACGAGAGCTTCAGCACTGGCGATCAAGTCATCAATGCTGCACGTCAGATGTATGCCGAGGAGCTCTTTGCCAGTCCTCGGATGCGCAAGTACCTTAGAGCATCCTTTTACCAGGCAGCTGAGATCAGCTGTCGCCGGACGGATAAGGGACTACGAAAGATTGACGACACGCACCCGTACTACGAAATCAAGTATATTCAGAACCAAGCCATTGCGGATCTGGTCCACCAACCCGAAGTATTCCTGAAGATGATGCGCGCCGAGGAAGAAGGACTCGTGGAGATCAAGGTCGAGATGCCTTCACGGTATGACTTCCGCAGACAACTCTATCAAGAGTTTGAGTCAGAGAACTTCAGCGATCGAGCGGAGCAGTGGCGGGAGGAGCGCAGAAAGGTGTTGGACCTCGCCTATCCCAAGCTGGAGAAGATTGTGGCCAAGAACATCAAGGAAGTCATCCGAACCTTCTGTCAAGATGAGGTTCTCAAGATGTGCCGGCAAGAGTTCTACCGCAAACTTGACCAGGCTCCTTACAAGCCCAAGGGCATGATTCTGGGAACCACACCGCGAGTCCTGGTCCTGTCCAACGGAGGTGGCGATCCTACCCGCGACCCTGTGTGCTGGGCTTGGGTGGAAGAAGAAGGCCGAGTGCTCGAACAAGGCAAGTTTGGCAATCTCGGCAGAGACGAGACCCAGCGCGAGAACTTTGTCGAACTTGTACGACGGCGACGGCCTGATGTCATTGGTGTCAGTGGCTGGTCAGCGGATACGCATAAGCTTGTGCGCGACCTGGAGGGCCTGGTGAGCGAGAAGGGCCTCATGGGGGCCGAGTTTGAAGATCCCGAGACAAATGACTACCGAACCGAGCTGCTTGAGGTCGTCGTCGTCGAGGATGAAGTCGCACGCCTGTACAAGGACAGCCCCCGCGCCATCGCCGAGCACCCCTCTCTCAATTCCGTCACCAGATACTGCATTGCCTTGGCGCGGTACCTGCAGAACCCCATGAAGGAGTACGCCGCGCTGGGCAAGGATGTGGCGTCTCTCTCATTCCATCCATGCCAGAACCTGCTGCCCCGGGATAAGCTGATGAAGTACTTGGAGTCGGCCATGGTTGATACCGTCAACATGGTCGGAGTCAACATCAACGAAGCCATGACGGACACGTATACGGCCAACCTCCTCCCCTACGTCGCAGGACTGGGCCCGCGAAAGGCCACCAGCGTGATCAAGACCATCAACGCCAATGGAGGCGTCGTCAATACGAGAGACGAGCTGGTTGGCGACCCGGACAGCGGCAAGCTACCGGTTGTTGGGCCTCGCGTCTGGAACAACTGTGCCAGTTTCCTGTACATCGAGTACGACGCGACGAATCCCTCGTCGGATCCCCTCGACAACACCCGTGTTCACCCAGAAGACTACGAGCTGGGCCGCAAGATGGCGGCAGATGCGCTTGAGCTGGACGAAGAGGACGTCAAAGCCGAGACTGACGAGAACGGACCCGGCGCCATTGTGCGAAAGCTCTTTAAGCAAGACGAGCAAGAGAGGGTCAACGAACTGGTGCTCGATGAGTATGCCGACCAGCTGCAGAGGAACTTTAGCCAACGCAAGCGAGCTACTCTCGAGGCCATCAGTGCCGAACTGCAAGCGCCCTACGAGGAACTGCGTAGGAGTTTCGCGCTCCTGACGCCGTCCGACATTTTTACCATGTTCACAGGCGAGACCAAGTCGACACTCTGCGAAGGTATGATTGTACCGGTCAATGTGCGCATGGTCAGAGACGACTTTGCCATTGTGAAGCTAGACTGCGGCATCGAGGGCAGGATAGAAGGCCACGAGGTATCGAACCGGGCCTCCGTCAAGGATGTGCTTAGTACGGGGCAAACGGTGCAAGCCAAGATTCTTGAGATGAACTACAAGGACTTTATGGCTAAGCTGTCGATACGGGAAGAGGCCTTGCGCATCCCCTACAAGGCGCCCATCAACTTTGGCCGCGATGGCTGGGACTATGCCCTCGAGGCTGCCGACAAGGAGGAGCTGCGCGAGAAGGACAAGACCACGGGCAGGACGCAGCGCGTGGTGAAGCATCCCAACTTCAAGCCCTTCAACTCGATCCAGGCCGAAGAGTACCTGGGATCGCAGCCTCCTGGCGAGGTCATTATCCGACCGTCCTCCAAGGGCAACGACCACCTGGCTATTACCTGGAAGGTTGCCGATGGCGTCTACCAGCACATTGACGTGCTCGAAATGCAAAAGGACACCGAGTTCTCCGTCGGCAAGCTTCTCCGAATCGGCGGCAAGTACACGTACAGCGATCTTGACGAATTGATCGTGGACCATGTTAAGGCCATGGCCAGAAAGGTCGAGGAAATGATGAGGCACGACAAGTACCAGAACAGGTCGCGCAGCGAGACTGGTAAGTTCTCTTGCACCACCCGTTGCTCAATGGTGCATTGTACTAATTATGATACAGAGAAATGGCTCATCACGTACGTGGACGCCAACCCCAACCGATCTGCTTACGCCTTTTGTATCGACACCAAGCATCCAGGATACTTCTGGCTGTGTTTCAAGGCGAGCAAGACGGCGCGCGTCATCGGCCTGCCGGTGCGAACCATTCCTCAGGGGTTCGAGCTGAGAGGATATCAGTATCCCGACATGCGCGCCCTGTGCAACGGTTTCAAGCTGCGGTTCCAGAACGAGTTTTCCAAGATGGGGGCTCGCTAAGAACAGCATGAAGGCGACTCAGACGGGGTCCCCGGAGGAGGACATGGAAAAGCGAGATTTAGGGTTACAGATTTAATGACTCGTGTGTTGATTACTTTTAGTATCATTGTGTAGAAAGTCGGCATTCAATTGGCTCAGGAGGAACTCGATAGCAGTCCCCGGGAACGAAATAACTTTTTTTCTCTTTTATGTGTTTATTACTGCAGAGGAGGCTTGGGGGTTGGAGGGCTGGGGGTTGACGAGGAGCAATAGTTATGAAAAACATAGAATATTCGGTAATGGACCTTTTGGAACCAAGATCGAATTCAGCTTGCGCGTCGTTCTTCATTCATTGCCGCTTAGTAGGTTCATCAATATGAGATGCGAAAAGCGTGCGCATCAAGACGATTCGTATCTCATTCATTGCAAGTCTATTTAGCTGGGAGCGTCCACCACTTCATGTCCATAAACTACATGCAATCAATCTATCAGTACCATCGATTGACTTGACTCGTGTCTGTCAGTATCAAGAGATGCACAGATGACAAGCACAAGTAAAAAAGGAGAAGAGACCCAAGGTCCATCCCATCACCACCAACTGCAATCACGGCACTTTGATTCTTCGATGGGGATAGCACAAAAAAGAAGTTGAGCGACACCTGCAGGATTCGAACCTGCGCGTGCGAACACAATGCCTATGATAAATCCGTGAGAGAAATAGCAGGGCATCGCCTTAACCACTCGGCCAAAGTGTCTTCTGATTGGTCTATGCCTGTTTTACTCATATCTTGCACCATAAGCCTAACAGTGGAAATTGGGAGAAGCATGTTTTTGCTGTGGAGTGCCGCAGACGGAAGCTGAGGCATATATATGCAATTAGCAGCCTAGATCGATAACGAATGATAAAGACACTTTGGCCGAGTGGTTAAGGCGATGCCCTGCTATCTTTCGAGTTATCATAGGCATTGTGTTCGCACGCGCAGGTTCGAATCCTGCAGGTGTCGCTCAATTTCTTTTTTGATCATCTGCCCATCTGTATCTGTCTAATATGACTTCTGGTATTTCTTCTATTTTTTTTTCTTCTTTATTCAATGTCCAATCAGTTGGACCCTGAGAGTCTTACTGGCACGTTTGCAAGCATCATGTTCGCGCTGGGTGAAAGGCATCCGCCCTTACGAAGTATCACAGGCTCCCCTATTTTCTGCATCTGCTCAGAGTGTATACATACCATGTATGCCTCTAGTCAACCAGCTCGCCAAGCTGCATTTATTTACGAGAGACATGGCATCATCAGATCTCATGCTCCCATTGTGGGTATTTGAAGATGAACCTTTCTATACATTTGTCCTCCAACACGAGGTGTTGTGCCTAGAACGCCATGGTGTAGCCTCAGCATACAACAACTTGGCAATATGCATCACGATATCTTCCTCTAGATGCCATTGGGCCTCGACTTATTTTGAGGTCAACTGACACGTTTTCTGCCCCAACTCCACGAAAGACCAAGACAAACGCTGTATCACCGTTGTGATGCAATCGTGCTACCTTGGCCTTGGTTCTACAACTCATCTCAAAACAGGGCACATCCGCCTTCATGATGCTACTTTGGGACTGAGCCTCGATGAACCGCGATAAAGCTAGATGGAAGCTTGTGTATCAAACCGCCGGTGAACTTGCTTGTATATATATATAGGGTGATGGCGAGACAGGTAGCGCCTTTTCTTTTGCTGCTTGGTAAGAACACTCTACATACCGAGTCATCTTGGATGAACTTTCCGAGTCAGAGCAACATGATAGCAGCCATCCTATTACTAGCCTTGGTCGCGGTGTGCGTGTTGTCAAGGCTTCTCATACCGGTATAAGCATTCATCGCCTTCGCTGCTTCACCATCTCACGGTCTGCCGCAGGCATCAAGCAACTGATACATTTTGCTCCAGAAACCAAGCGCACACCAGCTCTCCGAGGCACCGCACGACGACGATGCCAAACACGACACTCGTGACGGCCACCAGCTCTCTCCAATCGAACCTCTTCACGACTTCGATTACACAAAGGTGCCGCCCATCCACTACAGGCCGTTCCTTACCATGGCTCACGTCTCACTCGGTAAGTAAAAGAAAAGGGGGGG